AGATAGATAGATAGATAGATAGATAGATAGATAGATATAGATATGATAGAGAAGATAGATAGATAGATAGATAGATAGAGAGATATAGAAGATAGATAGATAGATAGATACATACATACATACATAGATACATAGATAGACAGAGATGATGGATTCATAAATTGATAGTCAGATCGATAGGGGACAGAGATGGATAAACAGAAAGAGATAAATGGATAGATGAATGAACAGAGAGATAGACAGATACAAAAGACAGAGATAGATAGATGGATAGCTAGAGAGAGATGGGTGGATGGACAGATAGATAAATTGGGTATGGGAGGTTTTTTTAAGGGTCTCCCCTCTCTCAATTGCCCAGCCTGATCATGGTACAGCTGTCCAGATTTTGATCGTCTGAACTGCGTCAAGTCCTAAGCACGAGGACCGGGTTGTAAAAGTCCCTTTTGCCAGGGCTGTCGTAACTTGGAAAAGCCACTAAACAAACAGTCGTAAGTCAAGCCACCGTTTTGATTCATTTCACTGAAAACACACACACACACAGTTCCATACCTTTGAAAAGGAGGTTGGCTTTGGGGAGATCCAGCTGGTACCCGAAGGTCGCGCTGGTGTCTTGCATGCGGGTGCTGGCTTCGAATTCCACCCCCACCTGCAACTGGAGAGCCGGACCAGAGAGACGATAGGAGAGCCAGGTCAGTGGCGCCTGCCCCCCCCCCCACTCTGCAGCCCTTCCCCCTCTCCCCAAATCCCTTCAAACGACGAGGGATTTGACTGCAGCTCTTTTATAAAAGCAAGCTGCATCTTATCCCCGGATGGTTCAATTCAGCAATCCCCCCCGGGGGAGAGGAGAAAGATGCAGCAGCTTTTTAAAGAGGGGGGGCCCCTTCCCCCTTCTTCCACGCATCGTCTCCCGAAAGCCACTCACCTGGTCGCTGGCTTTGTGGTAATATGTGGCGTGCGCTCCGGCCTGTCCTACTGTCAGCGTCACGATCCAATTGGGCGCTGTGGAAGACGGGAGAAGGTCTTACTTGGAGGGCCAAGATCTGCATGAAATCCTCATGTAGGACCCTGCCCAAGACTGAGTGACATCACCACTATAAGACAATCCTCGATTTACGAACACAAGAGGGACCTCGGCTTGTTAAGCCAGTGGTTCCCAAACTTGGCAACTTTAAGACTCGTGGACTTCAACTCCCAGAATTCTCCAGCCAGCNGATAGATAGATAGATAGATAGCTATATAGCTATATAGATATATAGAAATATTTAGATACAGGTGGTCCTCAATGGAGCCCAACATTTCTCTTGTTAAGTGGGTTTTGCCCCACTTCATGACCTTTCTTGTTCACCGTTGTTAAGCAAGTCACTTGACATGCAGGTAACTTGGTTGTTAAGTGAATCTGGATTCCTTATTGACATAGCTTGTCAGAAGGTTGCAAAAGGGGATCACGTGACCCCAGGTTATAACAACCGTCATAAGTATGAAATGGTTGCCAAGCACCTGAATTTTGATCACGTGACCATGGGGATGCTGCAAAGTTTGTAACAGGTGAAAAATGTTGGTTAAGTCATTTTTTTTTTCAGTGTCATTGTAACTTCGAGCAGTCATTAAATGAACAGTTGTAAGTCGAAGATTACCCGTACTTATCTAAATTTTTTAGAAGTCCAGTTTAATGTTACAATTCAAGAAGGAATTAAGACTTCTATCCAGGCTTTATTTATTGTTTTAGCTGTTTTAACGTTCCAGTTCTTTTTAAATTGCGTTGTTTTAACAACATTTAAAGATTTGTTTGAACTCTTTCTGCTTTTACTTACACTTTTGTAATCATCCTGAGCTATTAAGGATGCAGATGTGTGTAAAAAAAAAAAACCCTTCCAAAATCAATACAAAATGCTCAGTTTTAGCCAACATAATATTTACTGAAGGGTATAAAGATTTTTGATGCATTAAACTGCTTTGCCTAAGAGAACAAAGGCAGTGGAACAGAACTGATCTCTTTGGGTCACAACTGAAAGTTAATCTGATGAATGAATTCAAAGCTTTGAACAGTTGAAAGTTATCTGAGCTTTTTCTATTTTCACACTCTTGTCAAGCCAGGAAAATTAAAAGCACAGCTTTTAACTGCACTTAATCTTAGTTCCCATTGCCCTTACAGCGTTAGGAGAATAATTTATTTGGGAAATTACTGTCACCAGTTCTGTTTGGCGAACATCTACGAGATGAAATCTCTTTTTAAAATAGCAAATTGGGAAAAAGATATATCTGTTCTCCAGGATACCCAATGAATTAAGAGAATATAAAAAGGAGGGGATTTATCTCTTTTGCACAAAACGGCAGAACTTTTGGAGCAAAGGACAGAAAATACGTGACCCGACAAAAGGGCGAACGACAAAACCGCGCCCGGCTAAACCGCATCGCTAAAACCGTGATGTCATCAACGCGCCGACAACAGCGCGTCGACAACAGCGCGTCGACAACAGCGCGTCGACAGAAGGGCGATTTACAACAGCGTGTTGGCAGAAGGGCGATTTAAGTTAAGGTAAGGGTAAGGTTTAGGGTTAGGTTTAGGGTTAGGTTTAGGGTTAAATTTAGGGTTAGGTTTAGGGTTAGGTTTAGGGCTAGGGTTAGGGTTAGTTTTACAGCCCACTTCTGTCGCCACGCTGTTGTCAGTGCGATTCAGCGCTCATTCATCGGAGCGCTTTAGAACAC